GTGCCATTGATTAGCCGCCCCACAAAAGTGCTGCAGCCCCGCTCGCCCACGGCGGGTGCGCGCCGCCGCTCGCCTCTCTCCGGGCACCCCGGCGGCGGCAGCGAGCCTCGGTGTTGAGCAGGGGAAAAGGGATGGCCGCCGCAAGACACCGGGAAAGAAAGATGAGATCAGAGTGGGGAGAGCAGGGGAAGAGGGAGAAGGAAAAAAAAAAAAAAAAAAAGAAACTTAAGAAAAAAAAAAAAGAAAAAAAAGAAAAAAAAAACCCCACAAAAAAAAAAAAAAAAAAAAAGAGGAAAAACCGGGATGAAGGATGAAATACAAAAAGAAATCCCTTCAGAAACGGTGGGGATTTGCTTTCCCACTCCCAAATCTCGCCTTCCCTCTCAGCACTACTGAGAGCCCATCCCGCGCTGCACAAGCTCCCATCTCAAGTCCCAGCTGCGCTCCGTGCTGCAGCGGGTGCGTCGGGCTGCCACCTCCCCACCCCGAGCAGCCTCGGTTAAACCAAACCGGGAGCGAAAACTTGCGAGGGACGGCAGAAAACCTGAGCTCTTCCCGCTGCCCGACGGGGCAGAGGCCTCTCCGCCGCTGGCGCCCCGCGGGGAAGAGCCCGGCTGCGGCACCGGGTTGGGGGGCCGGGGGTGTCGCATCCAGCCCCGGAGGAGCTCAGTAAAAAGGCCTGTTCCCTCCTCCCGGGCCTAAGCAGGGAGGGAGAAAAACACACGCCAGAAAGTCACCCACTGAAGCGTTTAAATGCTTCACCGCTCAAACCGCCTTTGACACGCCTTGGCTGGGCTCCCGAAGGCATCCCGAGCCATTCGATAGCACTTCAGAAGAGGCCTTTCTGTCTGCCCCGCTCTGGGCAGCCTGGAAATGGCCAGCGGCGGCAGTGGCAGCGCACCCATCGCGCCGGTGCAGCGCAGCCCGCGGAGCCGCGCTCCCATCCACTCCCGGGGACTCCTCAGAGAGAGTCCGCCTGAAGTTAACATGGGGCGGCGGCAGGGCAGCACATGTGTTTCCGAGATCCCAACGCAGCTCTGGGAGAGCATGCGGCCGTGCGCCCCAGCCCCGATCCCGGCGGACACCCAGACCCGAGCAAAGCCCCTTCCGCGTTGCAAAGACTTGGCCAGAGGCGGAAACATGACCCCTCGTTCCCCAGGGTGCGCCGGCAGCTCCTCGCTCCAGCCTGGCTTGCCCGCGGAGAGGATGCTCCCCGTGCGGGGCCGGCAGGGTCCCCGCCTCACCCACGCACAAGCCGATCCCTCGCCACTTTCCTCTCATTTTTCTCTCCCGGACAGGCACGTCACGGGCACATGCGACGGCGGGTGACCAGACACAAGGTCGGCTCCTGCCGCGTACCGGCATCGGTGCCGTGGGTGGCAGTGTCAGAGGTGGGGCCACGGGAGTCGGGCACACAGAGAAACACAAGCCGGGAGGTGCCCCTCGCGGGGCCGGGGCGCAAATCTGCCGGGGCTCTTCCCTGTGCTCCTGCACGGAGCGGGGGATTTCTGCGTGTCTCCATCGGCGCTGCAGCGGCTCTGACCCCTGCGAGCGAGTGCACGTGTGTGCATGCGGCCACGCGTGTGCACGCCCGTGCGTGCCGGCCTCCGCGTGGGCTCGCCCATCCCTCTGTGGGCGCCTGCCCCTCCGCACTGTCGGAGCAGACACGCTGGGCCGTTCCTGCGTATCTTTTTCTCCTCCTTTGTCTCCCTTTCTTTGGCTTTGACTCTTTCAGGTGCCCCGGCGGTGCCCTCGCGTGCTGCTGGTTGCTGGGAGGTGGCGTGGCTGCCACTGCGCTGCTGTTGTGCGAGGGGAGGGAGGGAAGGGGGCTTGAATGCTGGCTGTTGTGCTCGGCTGGGGTGGGGGGCCGCCGAGGAGGAGGAGGCCGATGATGATGATGATGGAGGGGAGGGGGTGACGATGGAGCTCACCGCGGGCGCACAGCTCCCTGGGGAGCCGCCTGAAAGGCCGCTGCGCTCACCAGCTGACAACGCGTGCTCCGCTCCAGACACGGCGCACCGCGGCCGGGAGCGAGGCCAGACCCCCCCTCCGCCCTCCAGCCCCCCTGTCCCCCCCATTGTCCGCCCCAAAGCATTGTCCGCCCCGCTCTAATTAAGAAACACTGGCCCCACGGCCAACTCCCCTTCTAACCGCCCCCCCTCCCCCGCCGTGGTCCCTGCGCTTTTCTGGTCTCCCCTCGCTGGGTTTAACCCTTTCTCCCCTTTCTTTCCTCCTCCCGCAGCCAGAGGTTGAGCAAACAGCAGCCGGAGAGCTGCAGGGCAGAGATGCGCCTAAGCAGCGGCGCCTCGCCCCGCTCCGTCCCCCCGAAATCCCTGCCGCCGGGACGGCCGGGCAGAGCCCCGCACCGGAGTTCGCGGCCGCGCTTCATCCGGCTTTGACCCGGGCTCAAAAGCCACCGGAGCCGCCGTGCGCCTCGCACAAAGGCGACTGCCTCCCCAAGCCCCCCCAGCCTCCGCGCTCGTTTCGCACACCCCGGAGGACAGTCAGCGTTCAGCCAAAATTTAACGCTCGGATAGTGCGCTTCTGACTCGCCCTTTTCATATAAAAGCCCGTTTAGGATGATAAAACCCCACGAAGTAAACCGGGCGAGACTGCTTCCAGGGGCTGGTGCGCGTCCCCGCTCTTGTTAAAAAACTTTGCGGTAGTCTATACAAAACAAACACTGTCGCAGGCTCAATAAAGCGATTTATCCATCTTCATTACTTAAAGAAATGTTGTCTCTTTGTTTGTTTGGGAGATATTAAGCATGCTTAGCTTGCAACACATAGTTGATTCCTTTGCTAGTATCTTGGATACTTGGATCTGACTTTGGAAGGTAGGAGCTAATTGCTAATAATGGAGAGAAAGGAACCAGCCAGCATAGCGGGAGTGGCCTGGCATATGGGGAATGAGCAGTCTGAAATACTCAATATTCAAGTTTCCAAAATATTAATGAGATTATAGCAACCTGCAGCTATACGTTACAGCTTGTTAACGGAGTGCAAGAGAGGGGGGCTGCCAAGCGGTTGTTATGCAAACTCTATAGCTGAACCTTAAAATGGGAATGCGGCTGGGTATCTCTTTCAAAGAAGCGCTAAAAAAAAAAAAAAAAAAAAAAAAAAAAAAAGAAGAAGAAGAAAAAGCCCCTCACTCAGACGGCGAGTGCTGCTGCGCTGCGGCTGCGAACACCAGCCACGCCATGCGGTGCGCTCGTCTGTCGGGGGAAGGGACCCGACCGAAGAAGGGGAGGATTTCGATGCGCTCTTTTCCACCACCTCGTGTGTTCGCAGCCGCAGAGGCAGAGCCCGGGACGGCGGGGAGGAGAGACTGCACGCACCCCTACAACCCACGGCCGGCACCGCCGGGACCCCTCCGCGCTGCTGCCCCTCAGTCACGGCGGCGGCCGCCGCTTCCCCCCGCGAGTACAGCTCCAAATTAAACCAAATAAACAAAACAACGCCCCCAAAGTTGGTGGTTTTTTGCTCTGCCGCATCACTCCCGTGGTGGAAACCCTCGCGTGCTCCCCAAGACGCGAGACTGGCTTCCACAGCCCAGAAATCAGTGCCGGTAACCAAAGCTGATCGACCCCGACAAAGCAGGCATTTTATTAGGAAGGAAAATGACCCTCCCGATAAACTTTCCACCCTGCGGGACCGCAACCCGCTTCAGCAGGTACGGGCGGCAGCCGCAGGCGCTGGCGGCGAGCAGGGCAGGCGACAGCGCGGGGTTACCGGGGGGGCAGGTGCCCTGTTTCTGCAGGGGAAAGCGACACCCTCACGGGCTCCGCTCCCGCGGGGCCGCTCCCCCGGCCGCGCCTGGTTAACTGATCACCTCGACACCCCGCTCCCAGTGTCACCTGCTGAACCCAGCGGGACCCCGGCACCGACACGGCTCCGGTTTAGCCCCAGCTCTAGTGTCACGGGCAGGCTGGGCTAAGCATCAGCCAATCCTCCACTCCCATCCGGGTTTAACCCGAGCCCAGGGGGCACATCCTGATCCCCAGCGACCCGCCGTGCTGCTCGCGTGTCCCCTAAACCCTGCCGGCTTCCCCGCCCGCTCCCAGCCCTTTCCGCTCGGCTTGTATCCTCCGTGGGAAGATTCGCTCGGGTCCCCGTGAAGAAGAGGAGTGGGGAAGAAGGTGATGTGACTTGAGCGGCGGTGCGGGACAGCGGCGCTACAGAACAGCGACAAGCTCCTTACCATGCACTTGTTGCAATTACCCGATTGCGCTGAGAACTGCGGGACGGAAACGGGACAGGGTCCCGGCGGCGCAGGGAGCGGAGGTCGCGCTGCTCCGCGCGGGGCAGAGCCCGCCCCGGACCCCGGCCCCGGACCCCGTCCGTCCCTCTGCAGGCAGCCGGAGTGCCCCATCGCCTCCCCGGAGCATCGCCCTCGTCTCTGTACCTCTCACCCCCGGCGCGGAGTTTGACACCACTCCGGCTCGGGGAGGGCGAAGGGAGAAGTTGAACCCGACCACGATTTGAGGCTGATTTTGTTTTGGTGTTTTTTTTTTTTTTTCCCACGTTTATTTGATCTCAAAAAAAAAAAAAAAAAAATTTAAAATTAAAATACATAAAACAATGGCAGCTGGCATTGCTAAAATCAAAATAAACGATTTTTGTCGTAGAAAATATTTTTTTTTAAAAAGAGAGAAGCAGAAATAATTGCAAACACTGCATAATAAATACGTTTCCTATTACCACAAAAGGAAAATAAAACTGACATAAAAGTTTGACACGACAAAACCGTTTTCGTTTTTAAGAGAGCGTTAGGATTAAGTGGCTTAATTAAACATTGGTCTCCAATTGGCAGTTAGTAGCTTTCCTCTTGAAACTGCATCTCCAGCCGCTGATAAAGTGCTTGCGCCAAGTTTCCCCCCAAAAGACGCCGACATGGTGCTCTAAGGAAGATCCACATTTTCTCCGCTATTTACAGGTTAAGCCGGTGCGCTATTGACTTTTTTTTTTTTTTTTTTTTTTTTTTTTTTTTTTTTGTATGTGTGTATGTGTGTCTGTGTGTGTGTGTGTATGTGTTTCCACAGCAATGCGACCCACGGCAGGATCGGTGTCCTGGAAGACGGGGGTGTCAGGGCGGGTTCACGGCTGGGTGGGGATGGATGGCGCCGGCGGCACCCCCGGCAGCGGGAGCGGGGCTAGGCTGTCTCCCTGCGCATCACCTGCTCACCGACGGGGCGAGGCAGGCTCCGCGCTGCGAGGTGGCGTGTTGGCAGGAGGGAACGGCAACGACTTCTAGGCGAAAGAAATTTTCGAAGTGTAAACTAAAAATTAAAACAAACCAACCGACCCTGACAGACAGGGCGGGTACAGTCACTCGCTAACAGCCATCCCCTCTGGACAAACCGGAGGCTGCCGGGTGTGGGAGACGAGGGGGCGGATTTCAAAGCGACCGAAGGGAGCCGATGCCGTCCGTGGCGGCACCGCGTCCGGCTGCTCACCCCACGGCAGAGTCTGTGCTTCGAGAGGCGGACTTGCGGGGGTGCCGGGGACGACGCCCCTGCCTTAGCTGGCCTCATCCGAATCGCTGTAGTGGGAGCGGGGCGAGAACTCCCCGTCGCTCCTGTGGGACCGGGGCGACGTCTTGCTCCTCTCCTGCGGCGGCTGCCCGGGCTGCGGCAGGAGGAGGGCGGGGGAAGGGGCTCTCTGTCCCATCAGGGCGCCCTCCGCAAAGGAGAAGTGCAGAGGGTCGAGCTGCACCGAATAGCCCCCCGCAGCCGGCGGCGGGGGGAAGCGAGTCCGGCCGTGCCCGGGGGGCGACGCTCTGGGCGGCCCCGGCGGCGGCGCCGGCGGCCCCGGCGGAGCTCCGGCCCCGGCGGCGGCGCAGGGCGGCTCGAAGGGGGCCCCGCGGTGCTCGGCCTTGCCGGAGCCGTCGGAAGGGGCGGCGGGGCCGTGCAGCAGCTCGGCCAGGGCGCTGATGTAGATCTGCGCCATCTGCAGCGTCTCGTACTTGGACAGCTTCTTGTCGTTGTTGAAGGAGGGGATGACATTGCGGAGCTGGTCGAAGGCGTGGTTCAGCCCGTGCATCCGCCGCCGCTCCCGCGCGTTGGCCGCCAGCCGCCGCTGCTTCTGCACGCCGCTCACCTGCGCCCGCAGCCCGGGGCCGCCGCCGCCGCCCCGCGGCCGCCCGCCTCCCCGCGCCCCGCCGGGGCTGCTCCCGCCGCCCCGCGCCGCGCCGCCCTCCGCCGCCGCCGCCTCGTCGTCCTCGGCGGGCAGCAGGTATCGCGGCGAGGCGGCGGCGGGCAGGCGGGCGGCGCAGCAGACGCCGAGCCAGGAGCCCGGCGCGAGGCCGCCGCAGGCGCTCTGCTCGGGGCCGGGCGGCGGCTCGCGGGCGCGCTCGGCCCAGGGCAGGCTCATGGCGCTAGCGCCGCGCGCCCATCGGGCCGCGCGCAGCCCCCGCCTCGCGCCCGGCGCCCCGACGGCTCCGGTGTCGGCCGCGCTCGCGCCCCCCTTTAAGGAGCGGCACGCGCCGGGGCCCCCCCCGCCCCCGCTCCCCCTCCCCTCCCCTCCCTCGCGCCCCACCCCTCCCGCCGCACGCCCTCCACTCGCGCCGGTCGCGTGTCGGCGCGGCCAATGGCGCGCGCGCGCGCGGGGCCGGCGCGTGCGGGGAGCCAATGGCGCGCGGGGGAGCGGAGGCCGCGGCCGGCGGCGGCGGACGGGAGCGGGGGGGGGGGGGGGGGGCCGGGGGGGTGAGCCCGGGCCGGCGGCACGCGCTGTCCCGCCCCGCCCCGCCCCGGGCAGGCGCGCGCCGGGCGGGCTCCCCGCGCGCGGCGGGGCGGAACGGGGTGGGGGTGCCGGGGCGCGCCCCGACGGCGCGTCCGCCCCGCGCCGCGCTCCGCCGGCACAGGGAACCGACACCCGCTGGCACCGGGCCCTCCCCGCCGCTGCATTCTCTGAGGACGCTCCGTCGCGCCCGCCCGGGGAAGCATCCTTTTTCTTATAGCCGCCGCTGGCCAAGCCTCGGAGGCTCCGGTAAATGCCCACCTTGGCCTCCCCGCGCCAGGCGGGAGTAGTCGTCTCTCCGCCCGGCTCTCGCTGCGGCCGCAGCGACCCTGCCCGAGGTGTCGGTGCGGAGCGCTGCCCGCCCGGGACGGTGCTGGCGGCCGTGCAGGGAGCGCGGCGCTGCCGTGCGGAGGTTCGGCCGCGAAGCCGCCGAGGGAATGTCCTCGGTTTTAGAGCCGTAATCCCGGGGACACGCGGGAAGCCCACGCGGGACCCGGTAGGTGAGAAACGGTGGCTTTTGCAGCCGGGACAGCACATTGCTCCCGGAGCTGCCCGTTTTCGGCAGGGTCCCGATCCCCCGCGAGCGAGTCCTTTTGTTGGGCCAACAATAGCTGGCCAAAGGTGGTGGAGAGGGAAATAGCTCCGTGCACGCATCTTAACTTCCCTTCCGCGCTGCCTCCCCTCCCGCCACCGCCGCCTGCCTGGAGAGGAGAAGTGGAGGTTTGCCCGTGTGAATAGGCGTGTGGAGAACAAAGTGATGGGCACAGTATGAGGTAGATATGTTTTTTCAAAAGTGAATAACTCGCAAGCCAAGGAGGGAGCGAGGGAGCCCAGCAGCTCAAAGCTGAGCGGCAGTGACATGGAATGAGCAGCCTCGCTACTTTAGGAAGCTGGCTGGGCACACTTGGCGCAAGGCAGGCGCCTGGGGCCCACCTCCACAAACAACTGGATGGTACTGAGAAAGCGCAAAGTTGATGGCTTGCTTTCATTAAAAACAAATGGAGGCAAACCTTCGTGCTTTTTTTCCCCGGTTTTTTTTTGGGTTTTTTTTGGCTGGCTATTGTGCTTCAAAGGCAAAAGCTGCTGGATCCCCCCAAAACAAGTTGTCCGTTTTTGACCAAAATGGAAGTGTTTACTCGATAAGAAGGATGGCAAGGAGCAGAAGTCAATACCTTGTTTCTGTATAGTATCCATAAAGTTGCCAGACCATCTATCTGTATCTAGCAACAACTTTTATACTCTCCTATTGTATAGACTCCCACCCCGCCCCTCCCCTTCAATAAATGCTTCTACCATTAACAGGAGAAAAAGCCTCAGCACTGTGCTGCACGGTGCTGTTTGCTGGCTAAATTCCCAGCCCCCCCGCTTCTCTTTCAGTCCGCAGGCACCACGTGCTCCCTTCCCGGGTGCCCGTGGCACAGGTGTGCTTTGCCAGCAGTCCTGCTGTGCTCTCCTCCCCAGGGTTAATCCTGCATATTCCCTGTTTGGGCACCGGTGCCGCGGCTGTAGCTGTTCCATGCAAGGACCACGGGTCAAACCTTGGAAATGAGTGGGAGCTTTGCTCAGCAGTAGCCACAGACACCCGTTTCCAGAAGCATAGCAAGCACTCAGCATGGGGAGAGCCAGGCTGGTGCCGTGTTGAAGTCTTAAACATCTCCCTCCAGGCTGGTGGCTGTCCGGTCTGCTTGACAGCAAGCCCAATCCTCCATCCCACAAACCATCCACTGGCCTCTGGGCACACAGGGAAGCAGCACCCCATTAGCCTCTCATGTGGATGCAAGGTGGCTGATGCCCCGGAAAGACCCTGACCTCTGGATACCCCAGGGCTGCTGTCAGGTGCTGGGGATTTCCCCTAGCAGTACTTCAGTGACTGTATGCAGCACTGGGGAGATTGGATGAGCACCTCAGCTCCTGGGATGGGAAAACTTCCTGGCTGGGGAACACTAACAGCTGCTTACTTTTCAAGTGCTTGTTTTGTGAGTGCATGCACTCTTTGAAACTGGAGGCATCTGAGACTCTACTCCACAGTTTGCCTTTGAAAGGACACACACAAAAAGCCATTTTCCTCACCAACACCACTGCTCAGAGGGGGAAAAATGTTTTATTGAAATCCAGTGGTCTCTGTATGCCTGTATGTGCTGTGTGTGCACACACTCAGAGTCAAAGTCAAAGGCAAAGGGTGGTTTATGTCAGCACTGGGTTTAGCTCTGCTCTCCCAGAATAAGATAAATGTAAGTGATGAAGAACTCCTGGGGCTGGCTGAACTCATTTTGTATTCAACACTGCCCGGCCCTTTTCACTTTCCTTTCTCCCTCTCTTTGTATGTTCAAGCCTACTTGAGTTTCTTTTTTTCTTTTGTAGAAGTTGGTTCTTTTGAAGCGGTTCGAGGCACGCCCTGCTGCAAAGGGGACTTCACGGGAGTCGGAAACACAGGCACACCGGTCTGAAACACTTACTGTACAATAGCAGGAATGTAGGAAGCCTTGAAAATGAATCTGCTCTAAGCAAGTGTCAAAGCTTTCAGAGGAAAACAAACTGAACTTATCCCCGTATCTTTATGCATATTTTCCCCCCAGTCCTCCTTTCCTCTCCCCCCCTCCCCAGCCCAGTTAAGAGCCCAGGCAGCAACTCGGGGTCAGGAAAGGACTAATGTTACAGAAAAATGGGTTACAAAAGGGGGGACAGCAGACTTGCAAAAAGCCTCCTCTATCATTACAGCCAGAGACATTTTGAAAGCACACAAAGCACATGGGTCAGTCCTCAGTTTGTACTCAACAGTCTAATTGCTCATTCAATGCCATTTCAAGATCAGTCAGCTTCTCTACAGGCATCATCACTGGTCAGAAAGTATTTTATTCCTTCTCTTCCCTTTCCCCACTTTCCCCATGTGTTCTCCTGTTCCCTCCTTTCCTTTTGAAAAGTACATGGGGGGGGGGGGGAGAGGGGGCACATAGCCGTCTTTGTACCTCCCCTGGTCTTCAGGCAGTAAAACCCACAAGTGGATAGAGACCAAGGTGTGAGTCTTGCTCGCTGAGATCAGGTAATCTTCAATGAATCTCAACTGCAACCTGCCCACACTTCCTGCAGGAGGAGGGAAAGGGGATTTCTGCCCTCCCAGTGGCTGGCCTGTTCCCTAGGATGGGAAACTCACCTAGGAGCTACTACAAACACAAAAAGACAATGTACAGCTGAATTATTTTCAGTCTCATGGACTGCGTCATCAGACTATTCACCCAAATAAAGCGTTCATACTTACTTTATTCAGAGCAAGATAGCTTAAAGCAGAAAAGGGTCCGGCAGCAAATGTTTCTTAGGCTCCTCCTTTGACCAGTGTCTTATGCTTTACTGTCAAATGTGTTTTAAATGCACATTAGATGTGATGACTGCAAGGAATGTAAGAGCCCAGGTATCGGGGGAATCACATTTTTTGAACCTTGTTCCTTTCTGCTCAGGACAACCAGGACCATGCTGAAGATGTGCCCTCATTTCTGCAGAGCAATTTTGCTGGGCAGATCATTACACTTACCCAATGCCATTTGCTTCAGCTCTTGGAGGGTTTGTAAAACTAATTCCTATTTCTTGGTGACATTTACATCCATAAATATCTATGCTCTGGGGCTAACCCTGTGGACATTTGCAGTTGTGTACAGTTAATTCTAGTGCAAGGAGCTCCACTGCCTCCAAGAGAAATGCAAAACATTGGTATAACAATACTTGCCTACCTCCTGGGGCCATTGTCAGGCTTAATGAATTCAGCCTGGTGATACAGTTGGAAATCTTATCTATGGAATTTGTACCTACATTTTGCCTGCTTTTTAAAATGTATACAGCTGTTACTGAAACGTTGATTTATGCTTATATTTTAAAAGTAAAAACCTTCATATAAAGGAAGCATCACTCACAGAAGTTTTTCTTTGATCATTTGTTTTAAACCCTTTTTTGTTTTGTATTCAGCTTGGCAAGGAGGTTCCACTAAAATTGCGAAATGCCTTCTGTCCCACCAAACTCACTTCTCCGTTGTGGGACACTTTGAACAACGATGTTATTCCAGGTGTAGCTTGTTCACCCTTTGCAGCAGGAACAATTCTGCAGGGCCTGTGCATGCTCACAGGCACCACCCACAGGTCCCTCCTTTTAGTTACTCTTGAAATGAGCAATAAGAGAACACTATGACCCTGCTTTATGAACAAGTGCTTTCTAACATGCTTTCATTAGACTGCTAGTTGATATGTTTTACTAGCACAAATCACTAAAGCAACAAAATTACCCCATGGTCAACAGTTTTACAGTATATGATCAATACTTCATTTAGTTTAAGATCAGAGAATTAACATCAATCCATCCACACAAACAATGTATTTCCTTCAAATCACATTTGGTCACTTCCTCTTGCTCTCAAGGTCTCTTGCACAAGAACCCAGAGAATGTAAATACTCCACATCTGCTGGTACTAGATTTATTTTTTTTTAAACTGATTGCCTCAGCATTCCCTTTTTCACTGTCACTTCAGGCACTGCACAAAGGATGGTTATAAAGGTTTGCTCTGGGAAAAGAATCTAGTCATAGCTTGAGGTATAAATGAAAAATCTAGCTTGCAGGCTCTCTGTGGCATAGTAGTAACGTATAAGTGAACA